GTGACGCAGGTGAGCCCACCCACGCCTCATACTACTAAGGAACTATGTTTTTAACCATAGTCTCCATGTAGACGATGGGATTAAACCTCATTTTGTTAATTCATTCATAATTTTTAGAGCCAAAAGTGACCATATTGTAAATTTGTAAATTTGAGCGTCTTAGAGATCTGAGAGCGAGCCTGAAGTAGTGACTAGTTTTTTGGTTGTCGAGGTTTGGTTTGGGAAAAGGCGGTGCTGATGTGCTGCATAGTGTTGTGGTACAAACTAATGACATGAAAGTACAGCCCTGTTGTTGTTTCTTTTCAGCTGATATCTCTTCCACACAATATATTTATGTGTAAGTCATAGCTGTTCTTTCTTCATATTCTAATTATGGCGTTAGGTCGTTTTAAATTACTTTTAAATGCACACATTTACAAAAAGAGCCTTTAACCGTGTAGATGTTTGTGTTAAGTTAAAATGTGTTGTGCTGTGACTAAGCCTTCCTGCACTGGATGCTCATAGCTTGCTGGTGTGTAACGCAGGGTTGTTTCTTGTCTGTGCAGGAAAATGCGAGGAGTCTTTAAACAAGTACAATTCAGCCCTCACCGAGTTGCCGCCCACCAAGTGAGTCCACAGCGACGCTCTGTGAACAGTCACATCCTTTATAAATCGAACGACTTGTTTGGACTGAAGCAAAATAGATCGTGAAGCTTAAGTAGAGGAAACACTTCTCGTGCGACGTTCAGTTTGCTCTACTGTAACTGACTCGAGCGTGCGTGCACGTTTTCAGGTCTCAGGATGGATTCAACCTGCTGCTGCGTCGCCATGGAGGCTCAAAGAGAAACTCGCTGCTCCGCTGGTGTCAGAGTCGAACCCAAGGCTACAAGGTGACCCTCAAGATGCTTTTATATGTAGTTCAGTTTACAGGTGTGTGTGTGTGGGTTCTTGGTCATTATCTCTAAATCTCCACCAAGTATTCCAAACTCTGATAAATTTATTTTTTTATTTTTTTATTAAACATTCAAGAAACCTGGAAGGCTGCACCTGTGCTCCCACTCCACAAAGACGGGGACCCGAGTGATTTAAATTATTATTGCCTGTCTCAAATTGTCCTCCCCTTGCTAAAATATTAGAGCTCCAGCTGACACTGGTTCTGGAATCAACTTTTACCCTCAGGATTAAATCATGTGACAGATCAACAGCTCCATTGAGTGTTTCCAGTAATATAACTGAAACTCTCGGTAACCATTAGTATTGAACCTGTCAAAAGCATCTGATCTTGTCATTTTAGTAGAAAAAGTGTTTTTAGATTTTAGATTATCTTTCTGGTAGAACTACAGAGGTGTCACGTAACCTCTGCTCGCTGTTTGCAGAGGTGTTCCACAGGGGTCCATCCTTGGGCCCTGTGAATTCACTCTGTATACAAACAATATTATATCTGCCCCTCATAAAAAGTTTTGTATACATTCACTAGTCAAAAGATCATTGTAATAATTCATAATTTGTGCACACTTAAATATGGTGATATTATTGATATGCATCTTTCTTCATCTGCCTTGAAGCCTCTTGATTCTGTGATTATGTGAAAAGTGAATGGCGCGCCTTAGGTGAGAGACGAGAGCTGAACTGTATGTTTATCTACAGCTTACTAACTTCTGACTACAGTTAAATACATGTTTACAGTATCAGGTCACATGCATGTTAACATTAGCTGGCCCTTTTATTCACACTGAACTTGAAAAACTAATTTAAATAAGGGATGAGCTGCCAAAACCTATGAGACTACCCTCTCTGGTTTCATTCAGACATTTTAAAAAGGTTGTACTTGGACGTGCTTTTCTTATAATAATCAGTGAACACGTGTAATGTGTTTGAGCTTTTGCACATTTGTTTATAGACCTGTTTAAATAAAGGACTTAATAACAGTGGTAGTCTAACAGGTTTTAACACTGAAGTAATGAACATAATAGATTTTTGTATCCTCTCCTCTTCATGCAGAACATTGACATCACCAACTTCAGCAGCAGCTGGGCCGACGGCCTGGCGTTCTGTGCCGTCTACCACACCTACCTCCCCTCACATATCCCTTACAGCACCCTTGGCCCCGAGAACAAGGTAGTGCCGGTTTCTGTGTGACTGATGGGATGAAGCTACTCGTTTGTGTTAAACTTATCGATTTTACTTCCTTCGTTGTAGAAAGAGAATCTCAGTCTAGCGTTCAAAACAGGAGAGAGCGTTGGGATTGCGCAGTCTCTGGTAAGACTTTGTGTTTTAACCAATTTCCCATTTTACACACACACGAAACAGATTTTTGTTTGTTGTGCTCATAAATGTGTCTCTTTAACAGACAGTGGAGGAGATGCTGAGGGTGGGCGGTCCTGACTGGCAGCGGGTTCTGAGCTATGTGGAGAGCATGTACCGCCACTTTGAGATGTAACTGTTGGAGGTACTGTCAAACGGCCCCGCCGCAGATGACACTTCAGAAACGCTGTCAAAGAAGCATAGTTCATCATAATTGTTCCCTGAATACTACTTTTGCTGGGTGGTTAAAAGCGGATGACTTTCAAAGCTACAGATTGTAACTGAAATAGACTCAGAAACAGCTGTCACAAAAGCCTGTAACCAAAGGATGTAAGCACAGATGGGTGTGAGCTGCGTGCACTCGTTTCTGTTCAGACAATAAAACGGACATGCAAAAGTCACATTTTAGCTTTTAAAGTGGATATTATCGTGACCGCCTTGTGGAAATTTCGGTTATGTGGAACCTTTTTAGCATCTTTCTATTAAAGTGTGTACACGAGTTGCTGTAAATGTCTCCACACTGGTACTTTACAGTCAAAAAGTACTGTATTAGGTCTTCCATGAAATCTATAATCTTTGGCTTTTATATGTGATGCTTTGCAAAGATTCCACATGTGTTTGGACATTTGAGCACTGTGTAAATACGCACTTTTGTCAGCACTTTGTTGATGTCAGAATGTAATGTGCAGTAGTTTTGTAAAGGCTGTGTGGGCATTCAGCTGCAAGGCCTCAGTCCAGGCAGAAACGTGTCTGATGATTTATCTTAGATAAAGTTTCAGTTTTTCAGTAAAAGTTGGCGTTTCCTCACATAAAACACATGTAATCAAAATTTCAAAGCGCTTCCGTGATGCTAACGAGAGAGCCGGTGCTGTTAAGTTGCTCAGGGATGTGTGTTAAAGAAGCGACACAGCTAAAGCAAATACAAGCCTCCACAAGACTGCACATCCGGTTTCAACATCATCTCGCATCACACCTGCATCCTCGCTGATGCGCATCTGGTATTTTTACGACATGTTGGAAACTGTTGACAAAGTTGTACGTGCCAAAATGAATCAAGTGCTCCTTACATTGTAAGATATGTTTGTATTTAACTAGTGTGAAGAATTATACCAAAGAAATAAACAGTTTATTTGGATGAAGTGGCGCCGTGAGTCTTGTTTACTAACCCCACTGTTAGGATTGAAAAGAACAGACACGAAAATCCATTTATGGGCTTTTGGCTCAACATTCTCATCTCTTCTGTTTTGAACTGGGAGGAGCTCATGTTTGAAATTGGCTTAACCTTGGCTTTACTGCCACCTGCTGGTGAATATAAGGTTATGCATGCTTCTGTTTGCCTGCATCATGCTGCTATTCCTCAGTAAAAAAATTTTAATTGCCACTTAGTGGCTACAGCACGGTCAGTGTTGCACCCATCATGTCAACTCATAATCACCGCGATGCTATTTTTACCTCGTTTTCTTTGTCCAACCTGTATTTATGTCTATAAACTTCTAAACAAGCAATTATAAAGACAAAACTCAATGTTTGAAAGCGCCTGAGATCAGCGGAGAGGGAGGGTTTCAGACAACTGTCGGATCAGTCTCATCACTTCCTCCAGAGACGCAACACCCACTGCCAGCCTGTCGTCCTTTGTTGTCACGAGATAATTAAAATGTCAAGCCTGTTTATTACATAGCTGAATTGTGCTAATATGGCTTTGTATTCAATTAGTAGGCCACAGAGTCCTGTAATGTAGCAAAATATTTCCTAAAACAACAGAGATTTGATTGGTGGTCTCCGTTTTCAAATAATATGGTCGTTTTGTGTCTAATACACATGCAGTTTTCTGTTCCTTGTGACATTTAAGATGATCTCTCCTAGTTATGGATACAATAACACCTCGGTGTGTCTCTCCGGGCTTTGGAAGTGGATTGGAATTGTCTCCACGGACAAATGATGCTGGTCTCTCCCCAGGCAAAGGTGTCGAGTGTGTGCACACCCTCCTGCTATGCTTTGTGTGCTGCGTGTGATATGCTTCCTACGTGTGAGAGGAGCCCCCTGGGGCCCTGGCAGGAGGACAGGAGGAGGAGCTTGGTCACTCAGGTACAGGTAAAGTGACGCGTTTGCTGTCAGTTTGGGGTCAGAAGCAAACATTCGAAGCGTGACTGTGAACATGAACGCGATCTGGACCCTAGCTGTTTGTTTCAAAGTTGTGAGTTTTGCCGTTTCTGGTCGGACGCAGAATTCATCCAGGTAAGTGGTGGAATTTGGTATGAGGGGAGTCGCATTCGTTTCCTGAACGAGAACGCCTGCATTTGTGAATGAATTGATGGCGCACAACCACCTCCGTTCGTCAGTAACGCACCTTTCTTTCCTCTGTGCCAGTGCTACGTTGTATCTGGTCTCAGGTCCAGAGGTGGTGCACGCTGGCACGCCGACTCCTCTGGCCGTCACCGTGTTCGGAGACTTCCCGGGCACGGTGACAGCTGAATTGGGACGTGGAAGCACCAAAGTATCGCTGACCGAAGACTTCCAAGAAGGTGATGTGCAGTCACAAGCCGATTCAAGCTTGAATTAGTTTCTTTTAACTTTCGGGAGGGTTAAAAGGTCATTCTGTTTTAAAGGTTTGACGAGTGTCCTCACGCTTCCTCCTGTAAGTATAGTTTTTATTTCTTCTCACGGCAGTAGAGGGGGGAAAAAAAGTCTTTCTGACTGGGATCACAGTGTTAACACTTATGTCATCGCTCCAGATTCCTGACTCCTTAACCCAGAATTCCCTCTTAAACCTGACGGTGCGGGGCTACAAAGGAAACACTGTCATTTTCACCAACACCACCACCCTAACCTTCAGTCCCAGGAATGTGTCCACCTTTATCCAAACTGACAGATCCCGCTACCATCCAGGGGACGCAGTCAAAGTCAGAGCCGTGTGTGTTCAGCTGGATAACCATCCATACAAGGACAGAGTGGATCTCTCTGTACGGGTGCGTCTCTATTGTCTGTGTGAAAGAACAAAGCCACAGGAACTCTGTTCTTTTTTCATTGCTCACTGGGACCTTGACTGATATTCCTTTCTTACATGCAGGATCCCAGTGGGAATATCGTTGACAGGTGGGAGTCCACGCCCAATCTGGGAATCGTGTTGCGAGAATTCCCTTTGTCCCAGACGGCTGCTCTTGGACGCTGGGTGATCGCAGCTACTGTGAATGTAGGGTTGTTGTTGTTTTCCCCTCTGCACGCTGTGATGGACTAAGAAGGAATATCTTCTCATCCGAGCTTCCCTCTTCTTACATGCAGGGTGTGGCTGACGAGAAGCAGTTTGTTGTGGAGCTTCATGGTAACGTGCATATCGATTTATTCCAAAATAACGGTGATGGTTTATGTTCGATCGGTCAGTTTGAGGATAGACGGCACTGGTTGACCTGAACAACATCAGTGGTTCAGAGTGAATCATTCTGACAACAGCTGGATGGATTCCTATTACATTTAATGCCTAGGATTTATCCAAATCCTTTTGCGATGCCTTGACTTTCCCTCTAAAACGGGAATGTCAAACTCATTTTGCATTGTGAGCCACAAACAGCCCCTGAAGTGGGTCGGACCAGTGAAACTCCCCTTTCTGTCGGTGTAAAGAAGTTTGACTGCACATTTGATCCCTGAAATATTTTGATATAGGAAAAAAAGACATGCAGTTTCAACTACATGCTGCTGTAGTAAATGAAGGAAATCTGTCAGCCTGATTCTTTGGGCTTAAATTGATTCCCTCTTTCATATTTTCCATCCTGTCGGGTCAACTGTAGTCTTCGACGAGCCGATTCTGGCCCCCAGGCTTTATATTTGACACCCCTGCTGTAGAATCGCCACGTACTTCAGCTCTACATTTTCTAAATGACTTAAAGTCACAGTTCCCAAATGGCAACGTCTGTTCCCTTTGGCGATCTTCCTGTCACGCCACTCGCTGACATTTTTGTTTTGACGGATCTTCTAATCTTCTTGTTGAGTCTCAGGTCAGCTTGTAATTTTCCCAGCGTCCACTTCTGCAGTGCTTTGTTCTTGGTATCGAAACTAGGATTAAACTGAGATCTACCAAAATGACCATCCTGTCTCACAGAGCGCCCACACTTTGACGTTCTGATCAAGACGCCGTCACACATCCTTGCTGGAGATGACGTCTCAGGATCAGTGAGAGCACTGTGAGCTCATCTGGATCATTTCAGCCAATAACATATTTTCATACATATAAGTGAAGCAAGTGAAGCAGCATTAGTGTGTTTTTCCATTTAGGTACCCTGGTGGACGACCCTTAGGTGGAACATTAGTTGTTTCTCTGGAGTCTGCTATGAGCAACACGACCTCTGCTATGCAAACTAAAGAGGTGAAGCTCTCCATGTCCCCTTTTCTTCAGTTTTTCATATCTTTAATCATAAACTGAAACAGCAATAGAAACTATAAGAGACACTATCTGTCATTTTTAACCTTCGCTTTCAGTTCTACGGATCAACACAGTTTTTCTTCAGCAATGATCAACTCCAGGCTCTGCATACTTCATCAGTTAGCAGTGACGGTCGTCCCACTGTGCACGTTACTGTCTCTGTTAACGACAGCACCACAGGTATGACGCATTTTAATAAACCAGCGTTGCTGCAAGTATAACTTTAACTTCACCAAACAACATAATGTTCTTTGTTAAGGGTTTAAAGTGAACAAAACCGTGAAAGTCCACCTGATGCAGAATGTATTCCAGCTCACATTCCACGATTTTCCACCCACGCTAAAGCCGTCGTTACACTTCTCTACAAACGTGAGTTATTATTATTATCATAACTCACATGTCAGAGCCTTTTGGACACAGTATTAGTGCCTCCTCTGTTTCACAGCTCAGGATCTCAAGATACGACAGGAAGCCGCTCAGCTCAGTGGATCTAAAGCACTCTGCTGTGGTTCAAATCAATCAGATAACGTCTGTGAAAAACGCAGAACCCACAGCTCTGATACTTCCTGTGTCTGAGGACGGGGACGTCCGCATCAGGTTTAAATTACAGGCTCAAGTTGTGACGCTCTTTATTCAGGTCAGTAATGTAATTCTCCAACACGCAAAGGTGGACTTGCAGAACAATCACAGTTCTGTACTTTTGTTGCTTGTAAGAGTTTCAGTAGCGTAAAAGATGACATTAAATTTAAGAGAAATGACTGAAATTAAAAACACGACCTCTGATGTGTTATGTTTTCAGAAGAACAAAGAAAGATGGAGAACATCAGTTCATAAGTGCACATTTTCTTTATCTTACTGCTATAAATACTGATTTTTAGGCCAGATTTCAGTCCAGTGAGGAGACTCTGAAGATTTCCAACAACTTCTCCTCTCCGAGCGACTCGTATGTTCAGATCGCCCCCGGCAACACATCTGCACAGGTATTATATACAAAGTTAATATTTTTAATATATCACAGCTGCATGTATCCAAAATGTAACTATATTTATTTAATTTCCAGATTGGCTTGCCTCTGCAGATAAATGTAGAGAGCACCTTTAACCTGACCAAGCTTCACTTTGTGGTATGTTTGGTTACATACACAGTGTGTGCATTTGATTTTCTGCATCTTTTCTGCATTAAGGACAAAATGCAACATATTGTAAAGTAAAATTAATCTTATGAATTGCAAGAAAATCTTACAGTGGCCAGCACATAAGTGTCTAAGCTTCTAACTGTAAATCATTTCTGTGGCTTTGTTGTGTTACACACAATTACTCATTAATGCAGAGTACTATGTGTGTGTTTAAACACTGTTACCGGAAGTTGTGCACCTGTCCGTGACACTTCTTCAACCCAACAATGATTTAGTAATGTATGTACAGTGGGGCAAAAAAGTATTTAGTCAGCCACCGATTGTGCAAGTTCCCCCACTTAAAATGATGACAGAGGTCAGTAATTTGCACCAGAGGTACACTTCAACTGTGAGAGACAGAATGTGAAAAAAAATCCATGAATTCACATGGTAGGATTTGTAAAGAATTTATTCGTAAATCAGGGTGGAAAATAAGTATTTGGTCACCTCAAACAAGGAAAATCTCTGGCTCTCACAGACCTGTAACGTCTTCTGTAAGAAACTTTTCTGTCCCCCACTCGTTACCTGTATGAATGGCACCTGTTTGAACTCATCATCTGTATAAAAGACACCTGTCCACAGCCTCAAACAGTCAGACTCCAAACTCCGCCATGGCCAAGACCAAAGAGCTTTCGAAGGACACCAGGAAAAGTATTGTAGACCTGCACCAGACTGGGAAGAGTGAATCTACAATAGGCAAGCAGCTTGGTGTGAAAAAATCAACTGTGGGAGCAATCATCAGAAAATGGAAGACATACAAGACCACTGGTAATCTCCCTCGATCTGGGGCTCCACGCAAGATCTCATCCCGTGGGGTCAAAATGATCATGAGAACGGTGAGCAAAGATCCCAGAACCACACGGGGGGACCTGGTGAATGACCTGCAGAGAGCTGGGACCAAAATAACAAAGGTCACCATCAGTAACACACTACAACGGCAGGGAATCAAATCCCGCAGTGCCAGACGTGTTCCGCTGCTGAAGCCAGTGCATGTCCAGGCCCGTCTGAAGTTTGCCAGAGAGCACATGGATGATACAGCAGAGGATTGGGAGAATGTCATGTGGTCAGATGAAACCAAAGTAGAACTTTTTGGTATAAACTCAACTCGTCGTGTTTGGAGGAAGAAGAATACTGAGTTGCATCCCAAGAACACCATACCTACTGTGAAGCATGGGGGTGGAAACATCATGCTATGGGGCTGTTTTTCTGCCACGGGGACAGGACGACTGATCCGTGTTAAGGACAGAATGAATGGGGCCATGTATCGTGAGATTTTGAGCCAAAACCTCCTTCCATCAGTGAGAACTTTGAAGATGAAACGAGGCTGAGTCTTCCAACATGACAATGATCCAAAACACACCGCCCGGGCAACAAAGGAGTGGCTCCGTAAGAAGCATTTGAAAGTCCTGGAGTGGCCTAGCCAGTCTCCAGACCTCAACCCCATAGAAAATCTGTGGCGGGAGTTGAAAGTCCGTGTTGCTCGGCAACAGCCCCAAAACATCACTGCTCTCGAGAAGATCTGCAGGGAGGAATGGGCCAAAATACCAGCTACTGTGTGTGCAAACCTGGTAAAGACCTATAGTAAACATTTGACCTCTGTTATTGCCAACAAAGGTTATGTTACAAAGTATTGAGTTGTATTTTTGTTATTGACCAAATACTTATTTTCCACCCTGATTTACGAATAAATTCTTTACAAATCCTACCATGTGGATTCATGGATTTTTTTTTCACATTCTGTCTCTCACAGTTGAAGTGTACCTCTGGTGCAAATTACTGACCTCTGTCATCATTTTAGGTGGGGGAACTTGCACAATCGGTGGCTGACTAAATACTTTTTTGCCCCACTGTATTTTGTAGGTGAGCTCTAAAGGCCAGGTGGTAGCTGCTGGGACCCAAAACTCCTCGTCCTTCTCTGTGACCCCAGCGCTGTCCTGGGCCCCTGCGGCCTGTGTCACCGTTTACTGCATCCTGTCTGACGGCGAGATCATCAGCGACGCAGCACAAATATCCATCAGTCGAGACAGCTATGTACAGGATCTCGTTTTATTATATTGCTCTAATGAATTCCCAACAGTAATCCTCTTCATCCTGTGCCGTACTCTGTGTGCGTGCTCCCCTCAGGTGTCATTAAAGTGGAGCAGTGAAAGCGCCCAGCCAGGTGAGCAGGTATCGCTGACTGTGACCGGTCTTGAATCCAGGTCTCAGCTGGCAGTCACGGTAATGGGGACACACGATGACGCCCTGCAGCCCGATCTGAACTTTAAAGAGGAAGGGGTATGACCGCAGTAACCATGCTTCCTTCTGTATAAATGCTGATTATGTCTGCAGACAAAAGCTTAAAATTCATCTGTGAAACATGAGCTCCTGCGAACCTTCGTCAGAAAGTCACCTGTTTTAGATACCGCACGATTTCCTTCATATTGTTCTCCCAGTCACCTCAGTCCCCCGGCACACTGTTCCCAGTTAGATACTGCACGGAAATTGAAAAAGTGATCACTAAACCGGCTCGTCCAGATATAACATATCTGTCTGCTTTGTTAGGAGGTGACTCCTGTTTCTAAGAGCTGGTAACCTCAGTGCTCTGGATTCAGGACCTGAGGCTTAAGGATCGCTGCAATAGAGGAAACCAAGTGTCACCTTTTCTCACCTCCAAAGCTCTGACAGTCTGTAGAGAGTGTGTGTGTGAGAGAGAGTGTAGGTGTGAGTGTGTGTGAGAGTGTAGGTGTGAGTGTGTGTGTGTGGTAGAATAGATCATTTAAAAACTGCGATTGCCTCAGATTCCTATAAAGACGCTTAGACTTTACGTCACACCTGACTTCTAACTCATGTGGTGATCTGACAACAATCCATTTAAAAACTTTCTCGCCCAAACAGATTCACTGTTACCCATTTTTCCTCTTCCTGTCCCACCACAGGACTGTGATCTTCAGATCCTGACCAATACGAAATTATACAGGAAAAACCAGCCTGGACCTAAAAATGGTAAAACGGCTGTTTTTTTTTGTAGTTACGATACTGACTTGACTTTGCATCTTCAGTGCTATAAATACAATCTCATGGCTTTCAGAAGGACATGCCCCAGAGGTGCACAAGGACTGGCACCACTGGATGGATGGTGCTGAAGCTTTGCTGTGGTTGAACACTAACGTTAGGTAAGGGCTGAGAGGGGAAGGTGATTCATCTGATCCACTACAGGGAGTGCAGAATTATTAGGCAAATGAGTATTTTGTCCACATCGTCCTCTTCATGCATGTTGTCTTACTCCAAGCTGTATAGGCTCGAAAGCCTACTACCAATTAAGCATATTAGGTGATGTGCATCTCTGTAATGAGAAGGGGTGTGGTCTAATGACATCAACACCCTATATCAGGTGAGCATAATTATTAGGCAATGTCCTTTCCTTTGGCAAAATGGCTCAAAAGAAGGACTTGACAGGCTCAGAAAAGTCAAAAATAGTGAGATATCTTGCAGAGGGATGCAGCAGTCTCAAAATTGCAAAGCTTCTGAAGCGTGATCATCAAACAATCAAGCGTTTCATTCAAAATAGTCAACAGGGTCGCAAGAAGCGTGTGGAAAAACCAAAATAACTGCCCATGAACTGAGAAAAGTCAAGCGTGCAGCTGCCAAGATGCCACTTGCCACCAGTTTGGCCATATTTCAGAGCTGCAACATCACTGGAGTGCCCAAAAGCACAAGGTGTGCAATACTCAGAGACATGGCAAAGGTAAGAAAGGCTGAAAGACGACCACCACTGAACAAGACACACAAGCTGAAACGTCAAGACTGGGCCAAGAAATATCTCAAGACTGGTTTTTCTAAGGTTTTATGGACTGATGAAATGAGAGTGAGTCTTGATGGGCCAGATGGATGGGCCCGTGGCTGGATTGGTAAAGGGCAGAGAGCGCCAGTCTGACTCAGATGCCAGCAAGGTGGAGGTGGAGTACTGGTTTGGGCTGGTATCATCAAAGATGAGCTTGTGGGGCCTTTTCGGGTTGAGGATGGAGTCAAGCTCAACTCCCAGTCCTACTGCCAGTTTCTGGAAGACACCTTCTTCAAGCAGTGGTACAGGAAGAAGTCTGCATCCTTCAAGAAAAACATGATTTTCATGCAGGACAATGCTCCATCACACGCGTCCAAGTACTCCACAGCGTGGCTGGCAAGAAAGGGTATAAAAGAAGAAAAACTAATGACATGGCCACCTTGTTCACCTGATCTGAACCCCATTGAGAACCTGTGGTCCATCATCAAATGTGAGATTTACAAGGAGGGAAAACAGTACACCTCTCTGAACAGTGTCTGGGAGGCTGTGGTTGCTGCTGCACGCAATGTTGATGGTGAACAGATCAAAACACCGACAGAATCCATGGATGGCAGGCTTTTGAGTGTCCTTGCAAAGAAAGGTGGCTATATTGGTCGCTGATTTGTTTTTGTTTTGTTTTTGAATGTCAGAAATGTATATTTGTGAACAGAGGTGTGGACTCGAGTCACATGACTTGGACTCGAGTCAGACTCGAGTCATTAATTTTATGACTTTAGACTTGACTTGAAAAAATGTTCTAAGACTTGTGACTTGACTTGGACTTTTACACCAATGACTTGGGACTTGAATTGGACTTGAACCGGTTTACTTGAAAAGACTTGATATTTTACCCCAAATACAAAATTTAACATGCATATTATATAGAGATTGAAAATGTGACGTCATTCACGGGTAGAACCGCAAAGGATTCTGGGAACTCGTGGCAAGCGGTACTAGCGCACGCAGGCTTTCAATTAAAATCAGTTATACAGCGATAAAAAGAAACACAAGAAGCTGTTGTATTATTAACTGCAATAGCCGGTCGCATGACAGCCATGGGAAGCCGACGGGTAAAGAGATCGGTTGTTATCGGATTACCTCGTTGAAGAGAAATTGTTCGAGCCATGTTTCCGAAGTAACAAAGACGCGACGGATGGCCTGGATTGCAGCCATTCAAAGGTCAAATATAACGTCCCAAAACCCTCCAGCTCACAGGTTAGTCTGCTCCAAGCATTTACACGAAGGTCAGTGTTTTTTAGTAGTTAATACGTCACTTTCATAACATAACTGGTGATATAGGTTACAAGCAAGTCTGGCACTGAACAGAAATTGTCGCTTCTTTGTTTATTGTGCATAAATAGTGAATTGTCCTGACACAATATTGCGTTTCGCTTCTGTTATTATGGTACATTGACAAAAACATATACTTTTATTCACAGGATAAAACAGTTGTTTTGTATCACTAATTGCCCAGTACGATTACAGCATACAGTATTATTGTCACTGCTACATTTCTGTGACGCTACCAGAAATTATTTCCACTACTAATTAATTACCGTTGAGCTCAAAGGTCCTATTAATAAACGGTTAACGAATGTGTATTTATGACGACAATTTGTGAGACTGGTAAACTTATGATACGTACGATGGTCTTTACTTTCTACACGGTGCATTTCAAGGTCCTGCACCCATCCGTCGGTAAACTGTACCTGGGCTTGTTGCAGTGACCTGAAGTTACTAAACTTCACGAGTGTATGCACTCACTCCAAGAACCGTATGATTATAAATATGCATATAAATATGCTAAGATGAGGTAGCTGACTTCATCTAACTAGCAAATGTTGTCCAGGCTACATTGGTGATGCAGTTTTTTTTAATGTGTATGATATTTTTGTCATGCGATTTTAAAGCCGATCCTACAACCGCATCCAAGAATAACATGCAGCTTATCTCAGAACCGTCGGTGAAAATTATTCTTGGAGCTAGGTTTAATTGAGCTGCATTTTAAAGAGGTGCAATTTCACAATTTGTGTATATTTTCTAAGTTAACTATTTTGTCATGTGTTGAGAAAAACACAGATTTTAAAATTACATGGTCTAATATTTACATTTAGCATAACTGCAACATTATTTTTTCGTTGTTTTTTTTTTTTAAAGACTCGAAAGGACTTGAAATTCAAAGTTTCAGACTTGTGACTTGACTCGGACTTTTACACCAGTGACTTGAGACTCGACTCTGACTTGCCTGACATTACTTGAGACTTGACTTGAGACTTGAGGATAAAGACTTGAGACTTACTTGAGACTTGCAAAACAATGACTTGGTCCCACCTCTGTTTGTGAATGTGGAGATGTTATATTGGTTTCACTGGTAAAAATAAATAATTGAAATGGGTATATATTTGTTTTTTGTTAAGTTGCCTAATAATTATGCACAGTAATAGTCACCTGCACACACAGATATCCCCCTAAAATAGCTAAAACTAAAAACAAACTAAAAACTACTTCCAAAAACATTCAGCTTTGATATTAATGAGTTTATTTGGGTTCATTGAGAACATGGTTGTTGTTCAATAATAAAATTATTCCTCAAAAATACAACTTGCCTAATAATTCTGCACTCCCTGTAGTTCACTGAATATTGCTGCTTTTTCCTTTCTCTCAGCAATCGGACTTGGACAAGTGAGAAAATACTCGTTCCAGATGGCATTACTGCTATGGGAGCTTTAGCACTGCTGATGTCGGAGAACCTGGGCTTGGTCTTCACTCCTGTGCTGCAAAAGGTAACAAAACACTCTTCACATTTCTGGTATTCGTGCTTCCTTCTTTTACGAACGAGGAGTTTTACGAACTAAGATGCTGAGGAGTTATCTTCCCCGACCTTCTTAATAACTCTCGCTTATGTTGTTTCATCGACAGCTGACTGTCTCCAAAGATTTTTCCTTGTCTCTGGGCGCCCCATCACTCCTCATCAGAGGAGAGGAGATTGTGTTGGAAGTGAAGATCATCAACCATTTGGAGCAGGAGATGGATGTATGTAGGACGCACTTTGTGGTACATTGTAGCTGAATAAGGCTGAGTTTGGTAAATAATCTGACATCTATTGACAGAGATCCGAGTCTCTCCCTGTTGCATGAATTATTGCTCACTTCCATCATTTCTGGCACGGCATATTTTCCCTGTTTTTAAAGATTGCGCTTTGCTGTCATACGTTTCTCTGCATATGTAGGTCATCGTGCTGCTAGCACAGAGCAAGTCCTTTGAGTTTGTTCTGACACACCGAAAAGATGCATCTGTTATCAATGCTCAGAAAGTCACCGTGGAGAGTCACGGCTCTGCTTCAGCTCTGTTCCCTGTGAGGCCTTTGGCTCTGGGTGAGGTGGAGATATCTGTGGATGCTGTGTCTGCAGAGGCCTCAGACAGTCTTGTTTGGAGAGTGATGGTGAAGGTATGATAAAGCAGGGAGATGTCTGAGCATAGGACGGTGCCTGCAACACGATGTCGCTACAAGATGTGCTTTTGAACTTATGCGGCACAGTTATTCCTATCATAACACTGAAATGCTTGTTCCTGAAGCCCGAGGGAGTTGAACAGTACTTCTCTCAGACGCTGTTCCTGGAGATGGAACCGGAGAAACGGAACAAATCCACAGCCCTCTCCTTCTCCTTCCCCCCAAATGTGGTGCCCGGCAGTCAGAGGGCCCGTGTGGTACTGGCTGGTAAGTCTGCCGTTTGTCCTCTTACTGTTCGTGCATGCAGTTTGTTTACTTTGAGTCATTTAGGCATGTATCATAGCAGAAAAGCAAGCGTCGGGATTTTCCTCAGCTATAGATTTCAGGTTCAGCTTGTCTTGATAGTCAGCTGCAGGATAAACGTTTCATCTTGCAGAACTGCGGCTTCCTGCTCAGTGAGGCTGTTTTTTTTTCCATCCTTCTGTAACGTGTCATTTAAGCCACTTCCCCGACTTTCAAGGTGCCCATTTAAAAAAAATACTCTTTATATTCCATTCAAAAGTTACCTTATTTGAACACTCGTCTGGTGAAAGAGACACTTTCTGTTCCCATTCCGGTCTCACCTTCCAGCTCAAATTGCTCAAAAACAAACATGTTGTTCATGCGTTAAATCTTTCCATCCTCTGTCCTGCTGCTTCTCGCAGGCGATATCCTGGCTTTGTCCATCAACAACTTGGGTTCACTGGTTCAGCTGCCGCTTGGATGTGGGGAACAGAACATGATCCACTTTGCTCCAAGTGTATATGTTATCCAGTACCTGGACACTTCAAACCAGGATGACCAAGAGCTCAGGAGAAAGGCTCTAGCTTACATGATGGAAGGTTAGATGGACCTCGGTCACTCATAAAGATCACTGACCTGGAGAACTAGTTATCACAATATATAAGAACGTCTTCTGAGTGTTAAATTGAAGGTTCTCTGAGCCCATTAAGGGGTTTGTCACAAGCATTTTTGCTTTTTTGCTGTAAGGTTATCAGAAACAGTTGTCCTACCAGAGAGAAGACGGTTCCTTCAGTGCTTTTGGAAACAGCGACACCTCTGGCAGCACATGGTAAGGTCACCCGTGTGGTCCATTTTCATAAATGTTTTCTCTAAAATCGCAAATTTTCTGATGCTCCTTCTTCTCTCTCCTCTCTTCTTTCTCTGGATCCAGGCTGACGGCCTTTGTGCTGCGCTGCTTCCTCCAGGCTCAGCCCTACGTGAAGATAGACCAGAGCATCCTGGACAGGGCTGTGTCTTGGCTCTTAAAACGCCAGGGCCCCCAAGGAGAGTTCAGTGAGGTGGGCAGACTGATCCACACCGAGATGCAGGGAGGGCTGGATAAGGGCCCGGTGGCGCTGACGGCTTATGTCCTGATTGCACTTATGCAGGATGAAGTCTACACAGTGAGTTAGGGCAGAAATCTATTTTTAAGCTTTCTAGAAGCTGATACTTAAATGGACAGGATGTCTGCGAATGCTAATAATACTGTATTGGTTTCTCTGTATGAAGGAGATACACGAAGCCAGTGTGTCTCTGGCCAGAAAGTACCTGGAGGACAAAGTGTCCAGTGAAGTGATTAGTAACTACAGCCTGTGTCTGACGGCTTACGCTTTAGCTTTGGTCAACAGTCCCGTCTCTTTCACCGCACTGACTCAACTCGGCAAGAGAGCGGACTACATCGGTGACTCAGCCTTTTTTTTCTATCTGAAGCTTTTATAAAAACAGCAACATCCCATCCTTTACTTACCGACTTATACAGTGGCTGTGTCAGTTAGCCTGTGGTTATTCTCTTAGATGGAGTGATGATGTGGAGTTCGTCTGCAGGCCCGAGGTCACGTAACCAGAAGCTGCCCTCAGCACAGATCGAGATGGCCTCGTATGTGCTGCTAGCTCACATCAACCGTGGCTCACTCTTTGATGGCATTACACAAATGAAGTGGTTAAGCACACAGAGAAACAATCTAGGAGGCTACGGAACAACACAGGTGAGACAAACCTCTTTTCCTCTTACTGATTCTCACCTGTGTACAGATATACAGCATATTTCAGCTCCGCCATGGATTCTCACAAATATTCCCACATTCTGCCCCTAAAGTCGATATTTATCCACGATGGCTGCATCTTCTGTTCCCTTCCTCAGGACACAGTAGTAGCTCTCCAGGCTCTGGCTTCCTACGCAGCGTTCAGCGGTGCCAATGCCATCAACCTCATGATCAGTGTGTCTTCTCCAGAATCTTCATCACTGTTTCGAATCAACGCCACCAACTATCGAACATATCAAAGTCAAGAGGTGCATCCGTTACCTGGCGTTAGATGGTTGATATGTACAGTAACTGAAATTTATTTAATCTCCAATTTTCATTTCATGTTTCTCAGATTCCTGCTGAAAACGATCTGCATCTAAAAATATCCATGGAAGGCAGAGGCTTTGCCACATTTCAGGTGCAGTTGTACGGCTTCTCTGTTTCTGTGTACCGCTGTGGTTCCATTTCAGGAATTATTTGTAAGGTACAGATTTGATGAGAAACTGGAACTCGCCCTTACACATCAGGAATGTTTCCTCCATCGTGTTGAGCTCGACAGACGGTTTAACCACCAGCGCGCGAGCAGCATAAACTGCAGCAGCAGCTGTGCGCGATAGCTTCTCTTAGCACAACGTTGTGCATCATAAATGAAAATGCTGCATCATAATGGATCCCAAGCAATTAACGTCAGACAGCATCTGTCTGCACTGCAGATAAAATCGCTGAGAGGAGAACTGAGGTGAAAGGTTAATCTCTCCGTTGTGCTGTTAGTTTTTGTATGAGACGTGTGTTTTCTTTTAACTGTATACTTCAGCTTTTAATCGATAATCAAACATTTGTAACTGTTTCCATGACTACAGCTGAACGTCTTTTACCACTTGGAGAGGGAAACCTTTGCAGAGAACCACCAGCAAGCTGCGGACGAAGCTTTCTCATTACGCATCGATGCTGCTGATGGCAGCGACCGCAATCACATGATGTTGTCTGTATGCACAAGGTGAGCGGTTCACACATGGACAGTGCGTTTCTATGTACTGTATTTATTTTTATTTGGTTAACCCAGCCTGAAAGGATGGATTAGAAATGAGTAGATCAGAGGGACAGATCGGATTTTGCTCTTCTGAGTTAAAGTCAGAAAGGCACAGCTGAGATGGTTTGGACACGTGCAGAGGAGGGATGGTGGACGATGGAAGACCTCACAGAATATTCATGAATGTGGTGAAGGAGACCATGCAGAGGGTTAGTGTGACGGGGGAGGATGCTGGGACAGGGGGAGATGGAGGAAGATGATTTATCCAAGGAGCTTGAAAACAAAATCAAGTTTCTTGAAGACGTTTTGAGGTGAAACATCCATTACTATGAGCTGGATGACTGAGAACCTACGCAGACAAAAAGATTTATCATCATTTGGTTACTATGCATGTTAAACACTCTGAAATTTTTGTCCTCTCCAGATTAAAGGACAGTCAGCTGATACCTCACACAGGTATGGTTATATTGGATGTAGGCCTGCTCAGCGGGTTCACACTCTCTCCTGAGGCTGCTGTCCAATCAGCTGTTATCAGGAAGGTGGAGACGGCACCCGAGAAAGTCATCCTGTACCTGGATTCAGTAAGTGTTTGAAGCAGCCTAACGGCAATCAGCGTGAAGCTTTAAAACCCGCTCTATGCGTATTATTTGGGTGTGATATTAACCCCTTTTCATTTGCCCTGCAATGCTTCACCAGCACTGGTTTCCTACATTAAATGAAAATGCATGTTGATAAAATAGCAGGAATCCGATTACATCACGTGCGTAGTGACATTATTCTGGTGTCATTTGCAGCTCAACAAGTCAGAGGTTTGTATCAACCTTCCCCTCGTCAGAAACTACAAAGTGGCCCGCGTGCACGACGCTGTGGCACGCGTTTACGACTACTATGAGCCAAGTGAGTACGACTGTGAATAGTGTCGTTTTTAAAAAAATATTTAATGTGAATGATCGTATTTTTAATTTCAGCGAGAAACGCGATGAGCACGTACAATTCGCGAGGTCTGCCCGGCATGGACTCCTGCTTCTTCTGTGGTGCAAACTGTGATCTCTGCAGGCCTGGAATCACCATCACCATGTCCGCTCAGTCGATGGCTGCCTACAGCTTCAGCTGCCTGTTTCTCGGACTCACTGTTTTTCTTGTTTTCGTCGGTTAGATGGACTTGGACTCACACATTCATATGTACTGGATATATATGTGTCTTTTACACAAAACTCATTTTGGCCTCGTTCTATCCAGTGGACTGTTCCTTTGTTTAGTGCTCTCTGCTGTTAACAGTGTCTTCTTTTTTGTAAAGATGTGAATATGAAATGACTGGTAGTGGAAACGTGTTAAATTTCTTTTTATCTAACACATACTATCTAAAACAGATGCATTTCCATTTAAAGCTTCTTTAAAGCTACTATGATTCCATAAGTTGAGAAAAATGAACCATTAAATGAAGGAGCGCTGTAGCCGATAGTAGCAAACAGAAAAATTAAGGTGACGTTTTCCCTCATTTGCACACATGCCCTGTTGTGTCTCTGTTGGCAGGAAATGCAGATGTACTGAGCTGCCCAGAGTCATATAAATGCTAAAAAGGATTATTGTACAGCTCTGCAGACTTCCAGCAAATGTCTGACTTGTAGCTTTAATGTTTTTAATCCCTGTTGGTATTCAGTTGAATAACCTGCTGGATTGAAGCAGCACTCACCTCACGGAGTTTGCAGGTACACTGAAAAAGGGGAAGTAACCAGGTTTGACGTTACTGATGGAATCATTAAAATAATTGTTACTGTATCTCAGAACAAATGCATGTTTAAGTTTGCACCACATAAACTCTCTAATAAACTTTCTGCTCATCTGTTTTATAGTGGCAATAATTCACACCACTTTAACACTTACTGGATTGCATAAAATCTGAAGCTGAACATGACCTTTGACCTCACACTTGGTGACTTGTTCTTTCTTTTAATAAGCTATCGTTGTTTTTTGCATTTTAATGGAAATGCACGTCTGGTTTTTATGTAAAATATTTTTTGAAAGGCTCATTGGCAAAGTGGTTTCCCTCCAGGGACAATGAAGCTTTTCGGTTCATAAGTAAAAGCAGACATGGAAAGCAGAACATTAGATGTCCCACAAAAAGGAAACTGACTCACATCTGGACCTTCAGCTGTTGGTTGTGCAGCCTGTGAGAACATCTCATAAATTCTTTCCATGCTAAAGGTAAAGCTCCTGTCGTTCCATTTTTGTGCAGTACATTACATATCCTTAGTGTCTGCACGCTCTTGTGCTTATCCCACCGGCTCCTCCCCCTAATGCTCACATATGTTGCTGTTTTTAGTCATCATATAATCCAAAATTACTGAAGTGTGGCAGCACACCAGGAGCTTTCAGCAGTTTAACCTAAACTTACGTAAACCTCACCAGTTACCATCACGTTAACCTGAAAGCTGTTCCATAAAAAGCTCCAAAGCTGCAGTTGTGAATGTCAAACACTAGATGGCAGTCTTGGTATCATAATAAAGATGGTCTCAAAGTTCAGGCTGGAGCCATAAAAGCTACATTTGTCTTGTTTCTTTAACATTTAATATTGCCAATAAAGTCAGCAGTTCTCATGATACAGAGAGGTGATATTAGATATAAAACTCCTCTGCTTACAATAAATGCACCCGTGAGCATTTTAACAAAGTTACAGGATGAAATGTTGATGCATCGACCCTGCTGTGTCGTGGGTCATGCTATGAAAACAGCGTCGGGAGCGCATGCGGTGCCCATGATGTCATGCACATACTATGCGTCAGGCCTGACGAGTGCCTAATGTCCTTAACTGACAGACAGCTTAGGATCAGCAAAGCATTCGGTTTTACATTAGCTGCGAGGAAAGAAGCACTTGGTATGGGAGAGAGCTAAGAGGATTTATAGCTTTAGGAGAATTTCCCCACACCTGGTTGTGAGCAGAAGCAGAAGATTAAAAAGCACACCTTTCCCCCTGAAATCCCTCCTGTCTGCTTTTGCAGAAGTTTCTGGAATCCATATTTTGGTCTTATCATACCCAGGTCAACATCGAGCCCCAGACTCATAAATCAGATTCGTGCTGATTCCTTCTCCTCAGTGTGGCTGTACAGAGGTATAACGCTGACTACGCGCCTAGGAGATGCAGATGGGTTAAACTCAGTGAAGGAGATGGTTATTTATGAGCTCCATCTCCTGATGGGAGCTAATGCAGCTGCTGCTAGACAGAAGCTGAGTGTAGCTCCGATCAGCGACAGATTTTTTGCATATGAATCTTTCAAACTCTCCCATCAAAGTGGAAAAGTTAGATGACAGGGATACACACATTTAAGTGCAGTAACCATGTTGCTTTGTATACTCAGCAGCGGTTGTTATATGATATACTATAATATTATAATGATAAATTACACGATAACCGCTGCTTTTGTGACTGCAGTTATTCACTTTGGGATGGCGCGGTTAGGAATCGCATCTGGTGAGTTTGATGCTTTAATCCGGCACAAGTTTTCTTCCAAAAACAGGCAGATAATTGCTCCCCGTGGTCCAGCTCCAGATGACATCAGTAGGAAACAATTGCCATCCAAACAAACAACGGCATCATATGGAAAATCGCTGCTGTGGGTGTTGTGACTAAATTCGCGGTGGAAGCAACAACAAAGATGAATGGAAGCTTGGTGTCCCTGGTGATGCTACCTCAGTGATTCCCCGTCTGCGCGGAGAGGAGGATGCTGCGTTTGTTTGGCAAGGAATGCTTCATTCACCAGAGTAGGTCATGGAAAATCCCTCGGAGCTTTCTTCCCACCCGTAGCGAGTGAATATTTACACAACCCCCACGCGACCCCGAACAATCCGGCTCAGACAGACAAATCCATGCAAGAGCGTGCAGGAGAGGTGGGGGGATCCCGGGCAGCAGAGCAGAGGTCCACTTAGTCAGCCTGCCCGTGGCCTAATCTGAGCATACCAGCATGATATGATCCAGGTAAAGATGATATCAGACATCAGAGGAGTCTGGTTCATACTTTGTCACCACCAAAGATTATGTTTGGCTACTCGCTCATGTGAATCATTGTCTGTTGATGTTTGTGTCTGCAATTCACTCTTATTTGTACAAATACGAGCTGCCACAAGCCCAGTGAAGCCACAAGCTATTGCCCAAATCTGGGGCTGTGGATGCATGTCTGGGCATTCTGCAAGTCTAATAAAAATTCTTAATAAAAACAAATCTTGAAGCAACTGACCGGAGGGTAGAAAGATAAAAAAAAATGTTTAAAATATGTGCACAATGACAAAAGATAATCAGTTCCATTCTTTTTATGTATCTTTAATAAGACACAGAAACAATTCTCAGTGAGCTGCTCATTTGATGACAGTGGGGAGAAAAACATTCCTGAAAGAGAGAAACGTCCAGCAGAACCAAACAGGGAAGGAAACCATCTGTCTGGTCTGGTTGGGGTGAAGAGAAAGTGGAGATAGAAAATATAAGAAGTGAGAAACAACAGACAGAGCAGGCAGATTAAAGCCAGAGCTGCGTTACTCGCACCAGGAAAAAGGAGACAGAGTTAATGACTGCTGCCTCGTGAATAAGCAGACTTTTAGTGTCTCTGGACATCCAGAGGAATGAAAGGTAGGAGTGTTGAGTGTTGGCTGGACTGAGAGGCCGAAGTGATGGGATGCTTAAGCAGACGGGATCAGGGAAGGTGAAAATGATGATGAATGATGCTGAAACTGTGACTAAGGTGTGAAGAAAGTGGGTCGATTTTGGAACCACTGATTTACATTTCTTTACTCTGACTGTGAGAGAATAACCTCTTCAGCTGGTTCCAGACCTTTTAATATCAAATTATGCTACAAAAGTAGTATTTTTTTCTTATTGTGGTGAAAGAGCATCACCGGGAAACGCTTCAACAAGACTAGCTTCTGGATTATGATTTATTGATTCAGTCTGGCTCACAATGACTTCTTGACTCATCTCCGGACTTCTGTTAACTCTTTGCGTGTGAGCTAAAGAGGCAAATGATTCAAATTAAAAGCCAGACATAACTTAACCAGTCATGCACACATGCAAGTGAAGCAAACCCAAACTGCAGATGCTGGTGTGACCTCTGGCTCTCGGTTTTCAACTCAGTTTTCACCAGGGTCGGTTTAGCTACCCTGTATTCAACTGTCGCACATTTCCTCAAACTCTCTGCCCAATTAGAGTAATCAGAAGCAGATGGATTCAGGTTTCCACCTCGGCTCCTGTATGTGCGTGGGCTAGAGCCTTTGTATTCTCTGTGGACATGAAGGAGAGCCGGACAGAAGTAAAGTCAAAGCAGTATGTGTATAGTACAAATGTATGTAAAAGCCCCTAGAAAGCAGCACTGTGTTTGCACAGACATATCTAACTGACACGGGTTATTTATGTGTCTAACCCACAGAAAGAGCGGGAGTTCCTGCAATCTGACGAGGAACCAAACACTGTCTGACTGAGCCGTCTGAATCTGCGCGATAAACTGCTGTGATTACTTCACACCGAGGACACACACATGCACACCGGCCGTGCATCCCTCAGCTAAACACATGTACACACATGCGCATGTTCCTGCAGAAGCAGGGATCACGGGACCGACGAACGGCATGAGCTGAGAAAACCCCCACTTTTTTACTCACATATGACACGATGATAATGAACGCTGGAAATGCTGCTGGAAATACTCCAGTCAGAGTTGAGATGGAGTGTACAGAGTCTGATACGAGCTTCTGTGTTTCGTCGTCTGACAGCGCCTCATTAACTGCACTTTGAGTGATGCAACCTCACATTTTCTCTCAGTTATAAATCACTGATTAAAGTCAGCCTCACTGAAGGATGGAAAGGGACTAATGTCTTTATCTGACATATTTCTACTTTTAATTTACTGTAGCGAGGATGTGCTGTGAGAGAAATTTATACATATATACTTGTTTAAGCAGATTTCAGAGGTATTGCTGTACTTTCGCCTGCAGGAAGGTGCAAAGGTGACAAAACATGTGTCAGACTTGTTCCTTTGTCCATAATAGTCCACGATGCACTTTTAGCCCTGTTTTTGGAGTCTGCCATCTTCTTGTTTTGTTTTGTGCCCACAAAAATCTGCTATCAGAGTGATGCACTAAGCCCAATAAGCAAGAAAGAGCTGAAACTCAAAGCTGTTTACAGCTTAAAACATATGGAAAGGTGCTTCAGCCCAAAGATACTTGTGATTGATAAACCGCAGCAGCTACCCCACAGTTTTTATAATATTACCTCTAAGGGTTTCCATATTATTAATACATGGCCTGGACAATATTTTTAAAAGTCAAAAACTGGAGTTTCTTGAGGGTCTACCTAAAGTTAGCTCCAAGTATAATTTCCCATAGATTCCCACATTAAAATGTTCACCTGTAATGAGCACCAGTTCAGCTTGCTGGGTTGACGAGTCGATGCATGTTAGGTTACTTGATGATTCTAAACTGGCTGCAGATGTTTGATAAACTGCTTTGTGTAGAGAATAAAATGGTTAAAATGTGACTTTTAGTCTAAAGTGTTTAAGTGGTCATTAAAGAAAAGGAATATGTAAGTAACAACAATTATTGGGGGTTTGGCGACTTTCAGTCACTTTGGTGCCCCCAGTGGTTGCTTTGAGAGAGTAAAAGTGTTTTACCATCTTTTTTTATATGTTGGTGCCTATCAGTAGGGATCTGTTGGTGTTGGCATCACTGCACACTGTGACCGAACTCTATGCACCGTTAGAGAGAACATCATCCCACCTCTACAAGTACAGCAAAGCAGAAATGCAACTTTGGGAGACATCAGTCAACTCCCATTTGCATATTCCC